ATTTTTTTTTTTTTTTTCAATTGGAACGGACAGATCAAACACAATAGATAAGATAGGAAGAGGATAGGAAGATACAGTGAAGTCAATGCCAGGATGATCGGAGCCCCAGAAGATATCATGATCTACGACGACGAAGTTCCCGGAAACCGTGTCGCCTTCGTACAACACATATTCGTATACGCACTCGACGTCGTTCACCGTCACCGACAGCGCCGAGATGTGGCTCACCGTGCTCAAAAGGAGGAGCACCAGCAGAGCACCGCACCTCATCATTCCTCCCATTCTCCCCATCAAACCGGATATCATTATTCGGATCCCCCAATTTTATAGTTTCCAGAACTTCAGGTTCTTCCGATATGATGAATTACTGAACTCCTTCGTTGATTATGATTCATGTTCTCGTTGTGCGATGTCGTTTCAAGCTTTATGGGGGTTAGACACGTGGACGAATATTATTGGATGATACTACGTGGTACACTATAGTGGCCTGGTTAGACGTGGCCTACTGGCCCGACCCGCCGACCCAAATGTTGGGCCCATAATCGGAAAATTCGGGATCGGTCCGACCCGGAGGGTAAAAAATGAATAAAAAACAGCCCTTAACCGATCCTAAAGAGGTTCCAGGGCCGATACGTAACTCGCTTATCCGGGCTAGCTGGGCCGGGCCGGGTTGACCGTAGCCATCTCTAGACGTGGTATTGATTCTATATTGCTCTTTATTAAAAAATAAATAAAATTTATATAATAAATAAATATTTAGAATTTCAATCAATACCTTAATTCTTTTTATAAATCTCAAAAGTTTTGAAGCAACTTAATTAAAATATTTCAATTATACATACAAGTCACCTCATATTCAAGATAATATAATTAAAACTTTTTAATTGTATATATAAGTCATCCTGATGTCTGGCCTGCGAACAAGGGTATCTCTCGTTTCGGGTGATGTCTGGCCTCCAATTCTGGCGGTTCGCGGTGGCGAGGTGTGTAGGTATGCTGTGGGTTGGGGCTTTGGCTGCGTCGTGGTGGGGCGAGGCTTCGGCTGGGTCCTTTGCTGCAGCGACGGATGCAGAATTTTTTTTTTCAGCCAGGACAATATAAAATAAAAAAGTGCTCGAAATTTTTTATACCGTGCTTATTACATACGAATTTACCTTGTGCAAGAATTTTTTTCATTCACATTCTTCTTCTCTCAAATTTTGGAGTTGTTTCTGTCGTGCTTGTTTATCAAATTTCTAGAAAAAAAAATTAGAAAAATAAATTCTATCTATATTCTAAATCTAACTCACTTTAATTCAACTTCATCATCTTCAATATTATCAATATAACTAAATAATATCCCACAATATGACATTAATGAAGACAGGATCCAGCTCACTACTTATCTACTTTGATGGATATGGAAAGCTAGGAACTTGTGGGTGTTTCAAGGGCTTTGGAGATCAGAGAAGGCAGTTATCAGCATTGCTCTTGAGGAATGGTTGGAGTTTGGCAAGGTGATTAGCAGCTGGTTTTGTGGTCTTTGGGTCTGGAGGTAGATTAGTTTGTTGTTGTCTTCCTTTTATGTAGTTACGGTAGTTTCTGTTTGTTCTTGCAGTAGTTGACTAGATTAGGGCTTTGCCAGTGATCTATGTCATTTGTTGATTTTGCTCAGATAGGAACATAACCCGGGCTCTAAGCTTTGTATTAGCCCGGGATTATGGACTTATCTGATGTAGTTTGGTTTGGTTTTAGGACACTCGGTGTTCCTCTGACTTCCTTTGGTTGTAATAAGACTATTTAGTCCCCCCTCATGTACAAATTGTTTTGAGATATAAATCTTATCGTTTTGAGAAAAAAAAAAAATTAAATAATATCATTCAACTATTATTACACATTACAGTAAGTCACTATTAATCCACTCACACAATTTTAACTACCTATCATTTCCAGTCATATATCTTCTACTTATATCAAATCAATTTTAGTTATTTTTTTTAAATATTATTTTAGCAAATTTTTAAACTTCCACACACAACTAATCATATTAAATGTTTTCAAATAAGCTTTAGTTAACACAAAAAAACCACATCTTTTTAGTTTTTATAAACTAGCACGGCCTTACTTGCCCCGACAAAATTCATAGCATTGACAATTTCTTGATCATCCTTTTATAGTTCTACTCGTAACTGATTAGTTAGTGTAAAATTTGTCTCATTACAAAAGACAAAATATGAAATCAAAGGATTGTATCTGCACAAGCAACAAATTACATTATCCTCTTTGAGCAACAATAGCCCCATCCTCGATTATCATTTCAATAAATTTAATTATACAAGAGACCATAGAGACAATGTTCGACTTCGTTTCATATAGACTATTAAACAAAGCTTAAAATTATTTTTATTATGTCTCGCAAGTTCTCCAACTTTGCCTTTTCTTCCTAAATATTTATTTGGAAATTATAACTACATATATTAGCAGCAAAAATCCAGCCTGGGCAGTTGCCCAGGCTGGCCCAAGTGTAGATCCGCCCCTGCTTTGTCGTGGTTGCCGGAGTTGCGGAATGAGTCTCTCCCTCCCTCCCCTGTCGGCTAGTGGTGTTAGGCGGCTGGGGACCTGGTTCTTTCGGGCGCGGCTAGTGGTGTTAGCCGGGTTCGGGTGGGGCTGGTGTGGGGGTTGGTTTTTGTTCTCTCGGTTGGAGATGGGTCGATTTGGAGATTGGTTCGGGGCTTGGTTTCGACTACTGTATAGGCAGTTTGCAGTTTCGGTAGTGGCTTTTCAGGCTTGGAATCTTTTTTGTGTCGATCGTTCACTGTTGATTGGTAAATCGTTTGCTGGGGAAGGGCTTTCTGTGTTTTTTTATTGTTTTTTTAGTTTTTGTTTTGTGTCGTTTGTGTCGTTTTCGTGTTAGTATTTGTGTTTTAGGTCCGGCCATTGTCCTTTGTGAGCCCGAGTGTCAACTTTATTACCCTGTTGGGGTCGAACACTTGTGTATTACCCTGTGGGGTCTTTTTTTAGTGTTTAGTGTTTGTTAGTGTATTAGTGAGTATTACCCTGTTGTAGTCGGCTCTAGGGGGTCTTTGACCTGTTCTCCCACTTTTTTCAATTATTGGTTGTGTGCATTTAGCCGTTGCCTACTTGTATTCAGCTGGTGGTTGTACTTTTGCACATTTGTGCGCTTTATTTATAATATCTCTATCGTTTTGGAAAAAAAAATATACAAGTCACCCAATATTTAAAATAATAAGACTTTATGATATTATTTTTAACTAAAGGGCGTATAAATATTATTTTAATAAAATTATAAAGACAGCATTACAAAATGTCATAAAATTTGTGAAAATTTTGTTTGACTTACACGACTCTCCTCAAAACCTAGTTTTTATAAGGTTTAGTTCACACGATTACCTATAAGGAAATAACTATTTTCACCTCATGCTAAAGACAGTCTAAGTTTTTCATACTGCAACATAAATAATTTTTTCACCTCATAAAGTGAGAAACAAATTATGCGATTAACTAAGCGACACACAGGCGAAGATAATTGATAAAGTATACGTACGAAATAAATTATGCAATAAACTACATGATATACATACTAAGATAACCGATAAAGTGTGAAAAATTATGCGACAGACATACGAAGGTCATTGATAAATTGCAAAATATTTATGAGATAAACTACATGACAGACAAACGACGATAATTGACGAAGTGCAAACTGATTACGCGATAAATAATGCGACATACATGCGAAGATAATTGATTAGTGTAAAACAAATAAAGTGATAAACAATGCGACAAACAAGTGAAGGTAATTGATAAAGAGCGAAACAAGATTATGCGATAAATTATGCGACAAACAGACGAAAAAAATTGAAATAAAGTGCGAAATATTTACGCAACAACTATGTGAAAGAGATTAGAAGATAATTGATAAAATAAGAAATATTTATACGACATATATGTCAAGAAAATTGTTAAAGTGGGAAATAATATGCGATATGATATGCGACAGACGTGAGAAGATAATTGATAAAGTACGAAACAATTATGTGACAAACAATGCGATAGACAGACGAAGAACATTGATAAATTGCGCAAAAAATTGTGCTATAAACTGTGAGACAAACAATCGAAGATAAGTGCTAAAGTGCGAAATAAATTATGATAAACAATGCGACAGACATGCGGATATAATTGATAAATTGCAAAATATATTATGTGATAAACTATGCGAAAGATAAGAGAAGATAATTGATAAAATACGAAATAGTTATACGATAAACTACTCGACTGACATGTCAAGATAATCGAATAATTATGTGATACGATATGCACAGACACGAGAACAAAATTGATAAAGTGAAAAACTAATTATGTAATAAACAATGTGACAAACAGCTGAAGAAAATTGATAAAGGGCAGAACAGATTATGCGATAAATTATGCGGCAGAAAAGCCAAGATAATTGATAAAGTGTGAAGCAAATTATGTGATAAACAAAATGACAAACATGAGGACATAATTGATAAAGTGCAACACATATTATGGGATGAACTATGCGACAGACAGAAAAAGATAATTGATAAAGGGCGAAATATTTATGCTATAAACTATGCGACAGACAAGTGATTGAGCAAAAGCGAATAAATTATGCGGTTAAATATGCGACAAACAAGTGAAGTTCATTGAGCAAGTGCGAATTCCTTATGCGACAAACAGTATGCGATGGGCAGGCGTAGATAATTGAGCAAGTGCGAATTACTTATGAGACATACAGTAGAAGATAACTGATAACATGTAAAATATTTGTGCGATAAACTGTGCGACAGACAAACAAAATGAATTGAGCAAGTGAGAATTACTTAAATGAGAAACTATGTGATAGACAGACAAAGATAATTGAGCAATTGCAAATTACTTATGCGAGAAACTATGCGGCAGACAAGCGAAGATAATTAATAAATTGAGAAACAAATTATGCGATAAACTATGAGACAAACAGATGAAGATAATTCAACAAATGCGATCTCATTATACGATAAAATATGCGACATATAGAAAAAGTTAAATGAGGAAGTGCGTAAGATACAGAGAATTGTGTGAATAGTCCGGGCACTCGCGTTTTATCGCATTTTATTCTCACATCAACTTCTTGCACCTGTTTTTATATTTTTCAATTTCTTCTCAATGATCAACCTTTCGTGTAAGACCTATAAAGGTTATCCTCTCGGAAACGTTGTACGAAAACACGTGAGGAAGGTTTTCAACATCTTAAATTCTCAAAGTTTCTAAGAATTTGAAATCCCAAAGCAATGAGG